AAAAAAAATGAATTTACCATAAAAAATGAGATGTATTTATTGCATGTGTAAAGAATCCTGATTCTGTAAAAATGCTTATGACTCTATATCCAGTTTTAAAATTGAAAAAATTGTTGACGATGGAGGTGACCCTGAAACTTTGATTCTATGACATCTAGAAGCTTCAAAAATCGGATACCAAGTCTTGGAAAGAGATATAATCACATATCTCTACTTATTTAAAATAATACATGCGCTCATTTTATGGTTAATTTCGTTTACAGAGATGGTAACCAAACAATCCAGTAGTGACAATGTTCTCATCAACAAAATATTCGGACTCGCTTTGGTCTAAATCAGTGTTGAATTAGGCTTATATGATAATTAAAGCCTAAGACATATCTCATTTGTAATTCATAATAGAACATTTATAGATGAGAATCAAGAAAACCACAAATTATTTAGCTGCAATTCCTACGATGTTTATCATATTCCTTTTCTTTTGTAAAATTTTTCACATTGTTAAATTTTGTTTTTAAAATTTAAATGGCAAATGTTTTAAAAATTCTAAAATCATTTAATAATTATATAACTCTTTCACAATTAACTTCTTTTCTAGTTTTTCGAAAACAAAATTGTTAAAAAAAAATTTAAACATATTTATTCAATCGATCTAAGAAATTAAAAAATATTAGAATAACTCAATTTAATTACTTTAAACTTGTAGATCACTCAAGACTGATGATATTTGAATTTTACTTTCTCACGGAAAAATTTATTTGTTGAGAATTTTCAACTTCCACCATATGTTAAAAATTCTTTAAACACGTTTAAATTTGAAAAGTTGTTGATGATTATTAGTGGTTCATATACATGGCTAATTACAGTCCAACCACACACAAAGCGTGTTGAGCACATTGTTCGATTGCTTTTTAATTATACTATTCTCTTTCTATTTTCTTTCCGAAATCCGAATGATCTTTCATAATTTTTTTTTTCTTTGGCAATAATCCATTTAGTCGGTATAACATATGGTAGATTTCAACCATATGAAATTGAGAAATACAGTTGAAGATAAAAAAACAAAAGTTAAAACAAATATTTGATTAAATTTAACGACACAAATATTTGATTAAATATATTCATTATAACTAACAAAAAATAGCTATGATTATAAGTTGATTATGTCTATAAATAAAAAAAATCATATAAACCTGTAAAATTGACTTGTAAGCGTATATAAAATTTATATGTTTAAATTACCTCTCTGATGAGATTATGTTGGCATTTGGAAGCTCTTCTATGTCTTTATGTAAATTATGTGTAGCTACTCTCTGTATAGGAAATCATACACATCTATAAGAAAATCATATGAAGAGTTTTTTATATATATATATATAGCAATACATTACACACACGAGAAACATATGTAGTTTTGATTCCAATAATTAATGATATACTTCCACATAGACGTATGAATATAAAACTATATATACTGTAAAGAAATCAAACATGTGTTTGTACTTTGTAATGCATATGCATGCATCTTCTATATATAAACCGGTTAACTATTACGAACTTGGAATTCTATTATTATTGATAAATGTTATATGTATTTGGTTCAAAGCAAAATAAAACCTTTTTTTCTCTATTTACCATTTAAGGTTTTTAATATAGGCAAAAAGGTTTAATAAGATTGTACTTTTAAGTATGAATAATTTTTCGTAAATAGAATAGTTTGTAGAAATAGAAAAAATCAAGATTTAGAAAAATAGAAGTTTTCTATTATAAAATAAAACAAAGAAATTAACTTATACTAAATGCTTTATTAAAATTGGAAGTTTTCTATTAACAAAAAAATAAAAATTAATTTTAATTTAAATATTTACTTGGCATAACTGAAACAACCCAACCCGTTTTTTTTTTTTTAACATCGAATTAGTATTCCCATAAATACTAATTCTCAACAATTACCAACAATCCGTATTAAACTAGCAAACCGAACACAACCAGCAGAAAAAAACAATTCGACTTAATTCCAACAATTATCCATTAACCAAGTCAACAGATTCGAGTCAATACTTAACCAAAAGATAATTCAACCAACTCAACAATCCAATTCATCAAACCAGCAACCTAGCAGTTCTAAACAGTACGAT